GGTGGAAGAAAAGGTTAACAACAACTGTGTAGAACCGGAAGACATCAATATGCTTGATATTTTGAAGGCGAAATAGCCCATTCCAGCGTGAAGCATGAAAGGACTTGTACTGGTTCATTGAACATCCGCTATTGCAAATAATTGTAATTCGATATCACGCTAGTGTCGAAATGGAAACAACGGATCACAATATTTACTTTTTCAAAGCTCACAAATCTTAAGAAACTCCCAATTTTGAAATTGATCTTGGAAAGATTGAACTAAAAAAGTTTGCCTCCAATGAATTTCATTTTTCTTGTGGTCAATGATGAAAATAGCCAAAAATTGTGGGAGAGAGAGCTGATAGGATCCCAAAAGTTAACTTTTACAACTATAGATCAGATATTAGCAATATCATGTACATATTTTAAACTCGTGAAGTTTGTAATTTCTACCATTCTAAAGAAGATGAAAAAAAGAAGGGATACCACGAAAATCCCTAAACTGGTACACATGTGACAATTTTATCCCAAACTAATTTTTTATTACAAAAAATCCCAAACTGGTACACCTGTGACAGATTTCCCCAAACTAATTTTTTGACCACTAAAAACCCCAAACTGGTATATTTATGACAAATTTACCCTCCATTTGTTTATGTTAAATTAGACAAATACAAAAAAAAAATCAAAAATTGGCACCCATGGCAAACGAAGGGTAAAACATAAAACTGGCAATCAATCAACTGTCACGTGTCATTTAACAAAGTAATTGACAATAAAATTTAATGGAAACAAACTGCAGGTGTACCAGTTTGGGATTTTTTTGGTTAAAAAATTAATTTGGGATAAAATTGTTACATGTGTACTAGTTTGGAGTTTTTAACCCAAAAGAGAAATCTAAACAGAGGGTGGGCTTGAGGAGGTCCAGCCGCCGGGACGCAAAACAATGTGTAGGAGGGAGCTTGAAATGGTTTTACCCTCCACTTGTCAAGGCAATGATCCCTAGAATTAAGGGTAACCTACACCCTGGAGATGAGTGAACTTGCATCAAATACCCACCATTCTTTGAGAAAAGTTGTGCGGAAGATGGAATTTTATTCATAACAATCAAAACCATGATAACAAACAGTTTGACATGGCTCAAAATTATGTAATTGCATCTAATTAAATGTGCAAAAACAATGAAAATCATTGGGTCCTTTGGCCTTGCAAGCCCCTGTCACGTGTGTACCGAATTTCATGCAAGCCTTGTTGCAGTCCGGGAAGATTGAACACGAACCTATGTCCAATCGAACAGATAAATGCATCCTTTCGAACTTTCGAGTCGGATATGGGTCTCAAGTGTGGTCTAAACCGAAACAGAAACGAACTCAATAGAGATTAAACGAAAGCTAACAACACCTGCGAAGCAAAGAGAGATGAGGCAAAGAAGGCCGATGAACAAACGCACTCTTCCTGGAGCCATTTTGATGACCTTCTTTCCTCACTTCTCTTTAGGTTTTGATGGTATGATTGGTTGTGGAAAATTACACAGAATCCCCATCTACATATAAGCAATTCGAGCGCCATTGTAACAGCAACCCTACATATATGGAAATTGATGCGTGAATCTCTAGGAGTCCATTTTATGGCAAAACGTATCTACATTAAAAGCCAGACGGAAAATTTTTTTGGGGCAATAGAATTATCTCCATATAAATTGCGTCCGTTTGGATAAGTTTTAAATGTCATACATTGCATTTTGTACACATTCCCAGAATTCTTCATTTCTTGTATGGTAATAAACTAATTTCACTTTTTTATTGTGATCAAAAGCAGGCTATCCACATTTGATTTGTAACTAAGGAATTCGCCTAACAACCATATCCTTGCGATCTAGTCTAAGAGATTCACAGTCCATTGATAAGATCTCGTGAGGATAAGCCTTTTGCAAACGAGATAATGAAAGACTGTTCTGAAAATGCATCTACATTCTAAAGATATACTATTGGAAGCTCCGAGAAGTAAGTTTTCAAGTTTGGTTTGTTCTCAAGTCGCTCATGTTTATTATGCCTAATATGCCAAGCAGTTTTGCTTCTGCTCCAATATATTTGTAGGGCGTATATGGGTGGATTGACAATTTGGCTTTCCCTGTGGATTACTTAGTGTCATGTCACACCATTTTGAAAATGTTTCAATGTAATTACAAAGTATTTATCATTCAAAATGGCTGAAGCCCAGTTCAATTCATGTTGGTTTCAAGTCAAAGTTGGGTCGTGTTGATTGCGGGTTTCTCTCAATAAATTTATTAAGTGTTCGAGTGCTGTTCTCATGTCATGTCAGGACTTGCCATGAGTTTTAATGTGTCATAGAGGAGATAGTACATGAGTTTTGTATACTTATTAAGCTGAATCCGAACCACTGAAGATGATGGTCCTAGTGGATCCTACCAATGTTTTAAAAGCCATATCATGAGAGTTAAAGTTATATAATATTTGGTATACAAAATATGATGCACATAAATTGTAAGTGTGTGCCTCAGCAAGCTAATATGAACTTTTAAAGTGCATCGAGAAGACTCGAGTTCGAGTCTATTGGCTTTAACTTTGTTATTCATAATGAAAAATAAGCCAAAGTTTATCTGTATAATTGCCCAACCTTCCATCCGTGCACTAGCTCAAAACTCTGGTCCACTCAATATCTTCATATCCAATTTTAAAGGGAAAATTTCAATTAAGGGTCCCAAGTGGGGTCAAATTCTCAAAAGAGGGCCCAAAGTGAACATAATGTTAAATAAGGGTCTGAAGTGCCCAATCAGTCTCAAATAAGGACCCGAAGTGCCCAAAAAGTCTCAAATAAGGGCTTGGGTCGCCGGCCGGCCAAAATGCCCACCGGCCGGCGAGAATGTTACTGTTCCGGCACCGGAACAGTAACTTTTTAATTTTTTTATTATTTTTTCCTTTCTGTTTTTTTTCTTTTCCTTTTCCTTTTCTTTTTTTTTTCTTCTCTTCCTCCGCCGGCCATAGCCGGGGCCGGCGGAGGTCGCCGGCGTCGGGCGAGGGCCGCCCTCACCTGGGCTGGGCAAGGTCGGCCTCTCCAGTTGCCGGCGAGGTCGAGCCTCGCCAAATCTGGCGAGGGCTCGGCCCCGCCGGCCGCCGGGCGAGGCTCGACCTCGCCGGCATCGGGGCGAGGCCGGTCTCGCACGCAACGGCAAGGCCGGCCTCGCCCAATGCGGCGAGGTCGAGCCCTCGCTAGATCCGGCGAGTCTCGACCTCGCCGGCCGCTGGCGAGGCCCAACCTCGCCGGCATCGAGCGAGGCCGGTCTCGCCTCGCAACGGCAAGGCCGTCCTCGCCCGACGCCGGCGAGGTCGAGCCCTCGCCATCGGCGAGGCCCGACCTCACCGACGTCGGCGAGGCTGGTCTCGCCTGCAAGGGCAAGGCCGGCCTCGCCCGCGCCGCGAGGTCGAGCCCTCGCGGCAACCGGCGAGGCCGACCTCGCCCGACCCGAGGCGAGGCGGCCCTCGCCCGACGCCGGCGACCTCCGCCGGCCCCGGCTATGGCCGGCGGAGGAAGAGAAGAAAAGAAAAAAGAAAAGGAAAAGGAAAAGAAAAAAAAAACATAAAGGAAAAAATAATAAAAAAATTAAAAAGTTACTGTTCCGGTGCCGGAACAGTAACTTTCTTGCCGACCGGCAGGCATTTTGGCCGGCCAGCCACCCAGGCCCTTATTTGAGACTTTTTGGGCACTTCGGGTCTTTATTTGAGACTAATTGGGCACTTCAGGCTCTTATTTGACACTATGTTCACTTTGGGCCCTCTTTTGAGAATTTGACCCCACTTGGGGTCCTTAATTGAAATTTTCCCAATTTTAAATGAAACAGCACGACTGACCCGTGTGGTTTCGGCTGGCTTAACCGGCTTTCACCACAACCGACAGAGGATCTGAATTGAACCAAAGGGCAAGCCGATACTTGGTTGAGTCGGCCGATCTAGTCTGATTTTTAACACATAGTGGTAAGAGGCAGCTAAAGCGCAAGTACACTTGAAAAGACAAAAGCTTGGCTGAGCTAGTTTTAATTGATCATGTACTTATAGGGCATTCTATCCTTATAAAATAATTGACCTATTCCAATTACTTGTGGTTCTTTCATTTGCAATATAAGAAGGGCCATTTTAACAATTGCTCAAGCATACATATGAGGATGACTTCAAATTTTCAAAACACTATTGACAGAAATGGTTAGTGTAAGAAAAATTATGATATTTTCTTAGTCAATTTTCTAACAAGAACGCTTGAAATATTTATTAACGACTTCCATATCCCAATAGCCTTTTGGAAAATGTTTTCCGGGATGGCAGCAGCCTTGGAGCTGCTATCATTATGAACCACAAGGCCCATATTGGTCCAACACAATGGCATTAAACCATGTATAGGAACATTTATGGAGATAGGTGAACAAACGTGGGATTGTTAAGGCTTGGATGGGTCAAGAATCCAGAAGGTGAATTGTCATTCCAACATGAAGCATGGAAAGATTGGAGGGACCACATGCAAAAGCAGCTCCTATTATTATAAATCGATTAGCCTAAACAATATTAGGCTTTCTGATTCATCAAACTTTCAATTTCAACTTGAGCTACTTCACCACCACATTAACAGTTACAAACAATGGTAATTTGATGTCATGCTGGCGTCAAAATAGACAACAACTTAACATTCTATAGTTCAAATTTTGAAATTGATCATCGAAAGATCGAACTAAAAACTTTGCCTTAGATAAATTTCATTTTTTTCGAAGTCAATCAAGAGAATATTCAAGTATTGTGGGAAGGAGAGCTTAAAGGATCCCAAAAGTTAACTTTTACGGCTATAGATCACATATTAGCAAATTCAGATGCACATCTTATGCTTGCTAAGTATGTAATGTCCATCAATCTATTGAAGGGAAAAAAAAGAGATACGAATAGAGGAGGATAGATTTGAGAGGCGATGAGTGAACTTGCACCAACTACCCATCATTCATTGAGAAAAGTTGTACAGAAGATGAAAGTTTATTCATAATAATCAATACCATGATAACAAACACTTTGACATGGCTCAAAGTCATGTACTTTTATCTAAACTACACAATAACAACGCTTGAGTCCGGCTGCATTTATCTGGCAAAACCCTTTCGTGCTAAGCCCCAACTGTTCGATGCAAGCCTTGTTGCAGTCCGGGAACTTTGAACACGGCCCTATGTCCAGAAACCTGACTCCATCATCGTCGATCTCTCTCGCAACTGATGTTTCTGGGATGCACGAGAGTTCAAGAAATTTCATCAATCAACGTACGTAAGACATAATATAAATTATATGGACATCATGTTTCCTCAAATTGACCGAAACAGATAAATGCGTCCTTCCAGCTTTCCAGTCTCAAGCATGGTCTAAACCGAAACAGAAATGAACTCGATAGAGAGGAAACAGGAGCTAAACAATACCTGCGAAGCAAAGAGAGATGAGGCAAAGAACGCTGATGAACAAACAAACTCTTCCCGAAGCCATTTTGATGACCTTCTTTTCTCACTTCTCCTTAGGCTTTGAAGGTATGATTGGTTGAAAATTACACAGAATTTCAACCTATATATAAGCAATTCGAGCGCCACTATCACAGCAATCTTACATATCTGAAAATTGATGCATGAATCTCTAGGAGTCCATTTTTGTATGGATATCAATCACATATATGAATCTCTAGAGTCCATAAATATACCTACAATATAAGCCTGACAGAGAATTCTTTTTGGGGAATATGATTATTTCCATATAAATTGTGTCCGTTCGGACCAGTTTTCATGTCATTTGGATAGTTTTTGAATTAAATTCTAACGAATATGTATTTTATGGGGAAAATTGTGCAAAAAATCTTACACTTATTACACTATTGCCAATAAACCTTTGACAATTTGCTAATTGAGTCCATCCGGCTAATGCTAGCTAGAAATCACTGACGTAAACACTGGTTTTCCTACGTGGCACCGCCAGTGCTGACATAGACAATTTTTGTAATTTAACAAAATATATTTTTTCCTAATTTTTTTAAAAAAATTTCATTTTTCTTTTTCTTTTCCTTTTTTTCTTTGCCATTTTTTGATGTTCCGGCGAGGGACGCCTCGACCTCTGTCGGCATTTCTGAGAAAGCCCTATGCGAGGCCTTCGCGGCCTTGCCAGCTGCTAGTGAGGCCTTCGCAACCGGCAAGGGTTGCCAGTGACCCTCGCCGGCATAGAAAAAACAAGAAAAGAAATTTAAAATTTGAAAAGAATCAAAAACAGTTACAAAAATGGCCCACATCAACGCCAGTTGTCCACGAAGGACAATCGACATCCACGTTAGCGATTTCCGGCTTTGATGGAATATTGCATTTTGTACACATTCCTAGAAATTCTTAATTTTTATTTTGGGCTTTAGGTGTAGCTTTTTTTTTGGACTTGTTTGGAAATCAACTAATTTCATTTTTATGTTCTGATCAGAGGCAGGTTATCCAGCTTTATTAGTTACCGAGGAATTTGCTTAATGACCCGTAATAATCGACTGCTTAAGAACCATACTTGGCACCGAAAGATTGGAATCACACCTCTCGAGATCGCACCACTTGACGCGACCACACAAAATCCTAGAAAAACCACACCGGTCACGCCCCTCGTCCTGCTCGGCTTTTCCAAGCAAGAGTGGCCGCAGTGCTACGCACTTACTCTGTCTTCCTTCTCTAGCTTTTATACCTCGAGGAACTTATAGCCAAAAATCCCCCGTCCTACTCTCTCGATCACTTTTGGAAGAAAACTCGAGCCTGTTGTGTCCGAAAATCTGCTACATATGTGTTGAGTTTGCAGCGGGGTTGATGATTCGAGTTCCCAGTAATGTTAGTCATACTAATTGAACCGTTGCCTAAATTTCGTGCATAAATGATCCAACTGATTCGCCCACCACTTATTTGATGAAACGCATGAACTGAATCCGTGCCGATTCATCTCCCGGTTGTTGATTATCTTGAGCGCGTTTTACTCGATAGGCACCATTTTGGTGGTTCTTGAGGGGAATGATCTCTGCTATATCTCATCGATGTTGAGAGCATTGCTGTCTCCATCTTTCCTCTGTTTTGCATTGTGCGTTTCATGTAATGATGGCCTTCCGGTGAGGAAAAATGACCTAGAGATCATCCTCAGTGAAGTTCGTGTCATTCCCTCCGTTTACCATCCTATTTTCCTGCCCGCATGTTTCATTTTCTTGCGAATCGATGAGCGTAAGAATCGGACGATCGATTGATAGTTGGTGGCCAGCCGGGGAAATAGTCAAGTGATGAATGAGGATGGGCAATGGTGACATGGAGTATATTCAGCATAATATCCGGCGGTTTCTGTTCATTGAAATAGTCCCCAGATGTTTAAAGCTTGTCGATGAGGAGCAGAGGTTGGAGCTCTGAGAATAGGAAGCGTTGCAAGCCTTGAAATTGACATTGAAGTGGCAGTTACAAGGGCACGAGACTTGCAGCAAACGACCCGCCGACTTCTAAACCTCCGGGTCGCTGGAGGGCACGAAACAGTCAGGACTCGAACCGAAAATTTCCTGACGGATGTGATGTGAATGAACATTCAAAGTATTATCCTGCTAAGAAAGATGGTATGTACAAGAAGGAATGTTCTTGCACGTTCCAATATATACGACGTCTGGTCCCTATTCTAGCTGGCCAATAAAATAGCTGCGTCCACACCCAACTTACGCGAGAAAGGAATGAGATTTTCTAAGGTCCAATCGGGTTTTAGACTAATCTCATTCTTGTTTATCCTCAAACAGACAAGGGAGAGCTTGTTGTCTCCGGTCACTCGGTGCTTAATGCAATTTTTTGCCAATATAAACTATTGCTATTGACAATGAAATTAATCTCATGACCCAAACTTTTTATCTCATTTAAATACAATCTCCCATCGAATTGGGAGATTTATAGCTTCTTCTTTTTTATAATCTCGCCAACCTGACTTAGGTTTTGTATGATGGACTTTGGGCTTGATGAGCTTAGGTTTAATTTTGCTTGATAAACTTGAACTCGTCTTGGTTATTAGGTTTGTTTTGGGCTCTACTTGCTGTAATTATTAGGCTTGGGCTAAATCTGGTCTATTAAGGTTGGGTTTGATTTTATTTTATTTTTTGTCATAAGGTTGGGTTTGATTTACTTCTAGAGATTGGTCTTAATTCTATGAGTTGAACTCAATTCGTGTCTCTAATTGAAACATCCTAATAATATGGAGAGCCCAATAGTCTTTGTGTTCTTGGCCCAGACCCATATTTGGACTGGGCCCAAGGGCCCAGCCCGAGTCCCATTTAGGAATAAAAAAAATATTATTAATAAAAAAAATATAATAGTAAAAAAAATTAAAATAAAAAATGGTTAGAATTAAAGACTTTGATTGGGTTGTTAAGTTTTAGAGTTAGAATTAGCCTGCTTCAGTTGGATAATGTCCTTTTAGTTTAGGGGTCTTGGTGAGCCCCTTTTATAAGTTTAGTCTTAGCAAATTCATCTTTTAGGTATAAAATTGAACTTAGATTCGAATTTAGCTCGTGGGGATCATGTCCCAGTGCTTAACATAGTCATGTATTTTCTGTACCCGACGAGTATCCGGTTTTCATTTCCACACTTTTATTTAGAAGCTTTCATATACTTGGGTATGTAGCTTTTCACACTTGTAATACATTGGTTGTTCTTTTCCTTTCTAGAGTGATTAGGACTAGCTTAGGATCATAATGAACCCCTCAAGAACATTTGCATGATCACTTAGCAATGTTAATACTTTTAGGATCATAATTGGTAAAAACAATGCATGACAAATTTAGATGGCAACTTTCCAAATTAGAGGTACCGAAAGGGCGTTAATAAAAATATTAGTGTAATGAAGTCTCCAGATATAGAATCTCTAGTTGCATAGAAAATGAGACAAACCTCCCGTGTCTCATTTGGTTTCTAGCTAGCCCCAAATGATTAGTGGCAACTCCTTGAAAATACTTAGGTTGTTAAGAAAAATGAAATCCAACATCGCCCGAGATGTGGGTTTAGAAGAGCCTGCACCTAATCGAGAGCCGTTGGCTCATCAGTAGGCAATACCCCTAAACTCGTGTATTTTCCTCTTTCGGGCAGAAAAGAGAGGTCGCAACATCGTGCTCTCTCAATAAATTGATGTGTGTTTGAGTCGAGTTCCCATATCACGTCAGGGCTTGCCTCGAGTATGGGTGTGGAATAGAGGAGAAATCAGTATATTAGTGTGGCACAATTATTAAAATGAATCCAAAGCACTGAAGATGACGATCCCATGTGAATTCTACTGATGTTCTAAAATTTGTACGAGAGGCAAAATCGGAGAGCCGACTAGTCTAAATAGAGGTGAGTTAAAGTTATGTAATAGCGAATATACAATTTGCAAGTAAATTGTATTTATGCGGCTCAGCACAGCTAATATGAGCTTTTAATGTGTATCGAGAAGACTCGAGTTTGAGTCTCATGGCCTTTTAACTTCGAAAATCTTTTTCAAAATGAGACATAAACTGACTTTATGCGTGCATGATTGCCAAATTGCCTTCCATCCGTGCACGAGCTCGAAACTTCAATCCGCTCAATCTCTTCTTGGTTTTTCAAATCAAGGACCCGGTTTTAAACAAAACGGCACCATCGGCCCGATTGGTTTCGGCTGGTTTCACCGGCTTTCATTACAGCCGACATAGTATCTGAATTGAGCCAGCCGGTCTGATTCGATTTTGAAAATTTTGGACCTTACATGGATCTGACCATATCTGATGGTCTAGATCAAATTTAGTGTATGTACCGGGTTCACAGAATACCATCTTTGAAACCGAGAGTGAGCGCGTTTTATGATGTTTTATCTTCATACTGCGTTTAGTTCCAAGGAGAATGGTATGAGAGGCAGGTGTAAATGCTTTCATCAGTCAAACCTAGTTCAAACTATTATTGGTTTGCAAATTTTTGATTATCGATCAGATTGTCTAGGGGATAAATGACACAAACAGTATCCGAATTTTGGCCAAATATGTAATGTGGTCCATGAACTTTTAATTTGTTTAATGTAATCCATGAACTTTAGCCTAATGTTCAATGTGGTCCCTAGACTTTTAGTACATATTCAATATAGTCTCAGAACTATATAAAAATATTTAATGTTGTCCTTACCTATATAAAAATGTTAAATGTAGTCCTTCCATTAATTCAAGTTTAGGAAGTACATTGAACAAATTAAAAGTTAAGGGACCCTAATACATATTGACCCAAAATTCAGGACCATTTGTGTTATTTTCCCATTGTCTAGCTATGTCGCATAAGCAAAGGTGGGGAGAGGCAGTTCAACAGAAGTTGTTTGCATTCGAGGATGCCCTGAAAATACGCGGATGAGAAACACTTTATAATAAGGGGAAAAAACCAAAACGAGCATGAAAATTGCGACCAAACTTTAATATTTAAAAATCCTGGTTTCACATGATCTAGTTTCTCTTTCGCCCCCCGACATTCCAATAATTATTTCACAATCCGTCAGCTCTTGTCTTGATTAATGCAGGAGAAAGAACAAAGTACGTTTGGAATGACGTGGCTATACTGAGCTAGTTGATTTCACTTGATTACAGGGGATTTTATCTTTATAAAATAATTAACGCCAAGGGTACATTTGTTTCGCAAAAAATTTTATGATAAAAAAAATATGTTCCGTAAAAATTACTTTTCAAATAAAATGGTTAGTTTTTATTTTTTTGGAAATGTGATGAAAAGCACATAAAAACTCTATTTTAAGATAGAAGATACAGAAACTACCGAGTATTTATGATAAGAGACTTATTATGCTTCCTCCATTCATAGTCAGTCTCTCTTTTCCCCCACCCTCCCTCCCTTTCACCTCAGTAGAGCCACCTCTCTCTCTCTCTCTTCCTCTCCACCGCCTCACAGCCGATGCCCTAATCCATGAGCCCCGTCATCGTCGATAAACCCTCTCTCTCTCTCTCTCTAAAGCTCGTGGCTCATGGCCATGTGACTAGATTACAGTTCAAAAGACATTGTCCAATAGTGCTTCTAACCATATTGGCTACATTCCTCCATCCTTAAATTACTCACCAATTATAGCTTGAGGAAGAACTCATTTTTGCCAAGAAAGGTATGTTGCTCCAAGAGCACTGAGTGATGTGCATACCGTCTCGGGTCATGCGCTCATGTCAACACCAGAACGAAAGGTGATAGTCCTCGACACTCAGATTATTGACCTGGTTGCGTTTCCAACGACCTGTGCACCACATCACTCTCTCCTCCACACGATCCACAAAGTGTCGAATGCTCGTGAAGATTTCCTTTGTTCCTTTAAAGGAAGATGAGGACATCGCCAAAAGGGTCAGGAGGAAAAGAAAAGGTTGAAAAAGAGAGAAGATGCCAAATCATGACTTGGGAAAAAGATGGTGCCAAGATTAAAAAGATGGTGTCAAGATCAAAGAGAAGGGATGTCCCCGGATGTTGCCCCAAGGCCCGGCCGCACTGACCCTACTTTTGACTGCATCAACCTTCTCAAATCATGGATAATATGCAACTGAGCCTGTCCTCCCACATTCGTCTAGACAAAATTTTGGACTTTCACACGTTTAGTTTGCTGAAAACGATCGGTTAATGGAAAATCATTTACGGTTAAAGAAAATATGTATGTTTAAAGTTCGGAAAATGAATTCCCTAACCTGAAAAGGAGAAAACATATTCATGGAAAATAATTTCCCAGAAAGCATTTTCCTTTGTCATAAAATTTTCCGCGAACAAACACACTCTTAAATATGAAATTTTCAATCTAACTATCTTTATAGTATGAAAAAAAAATTGAAAGAGAATTTTAATCTCGAATTTTCTTTCAAAAGATTTCATTATAATCCATATATATTTGTCAGATTATTCTTTATGATTTACGCCCAACTAATCAGTAAAATCGTCGCTTCAAAGTTAATAAAATAGTTAGAAGCTGATGTACAAAACGTCTCATGCTTTTTATAACCTAATCTTCCCAATTTTATGGAATTTGAGTTCATAATTTTCGAATAGATCAATCATTAATATTTTTAAAATTAGCAATAACATATGTGGTTTACTAGGTGGGTACCTTACAATTATATTCCCAATGACCTCCTTTTGCGGATTAGATGAAGGAACCAATTCCCCAAATACTAGAATGTCGTTGACCAAGTTGGTGTGGACTTTAGGTAACAACCGATCCTACTTCTAGATGTCTGATGATGTTGTCATCGTTCTTCTCTTATATCGATTTCTAGAAATAATCACTTGATGTTATTAGGTGACGCTCGACCATGGCGATGACGCATTATGCAGGGATGATATGATTCATGAATTATAAAGTACCAACCAATGGTCAAGCAAGCTGGCTCATCAGTTCCATGTCAATTGTCAAAAATTAAGAAATTTATTTTCTTTTTTACAACTCGTGCACCAAATAAAAGTCCTTTCAAATCATAAAATAAAATAAAATAAAAAGAGTGGGATTCGGTGATAATCTGTGGTCCTTCACAGAAGGGACAAGTAGGTTTTGACATTATTAAAGGTAATGTTGATGCATGTATGCCTACAATCTGGTTGGCTGTTCAATGATTCTTTTGCCCTCACATAACTTTATACCGGAAAATGCGAACATAAGTTTTGAAAGCAAACACACAGAAAATCCAGGACGAGCTTATAAGTTTAATAGGAACTTTACCCAATTATAGAGAACTTAATATTCGATTTGATTTGGACCTACTGCTTCTACCCACTGAGCATTCAAGATCAAGAGGTCCTCCTCATTTTCTTTCCCAACTTAGTGTAATAAATTAATCCTATATTTCGATTATGGTGGGGTTAGAGGACAATTAGGAGGTGCGCATCTTGAATACATGCGTATAGCACCTTGTATTTCCATTAGGATGACTATGTTGACCCTACTATATTTTGCCGAACCATCAAGAACTACATAATGATAAGAGATAAGTGTACTGGAAGTCCTAAAACTTGTCACGAAAGTGTAATCAAATCCTAAAACTTATCACGAAAGTGCAATCGAGTCTTAAAACTTTAAAAAAGTGCAATCGAATGAAGGACCTGATTAGATCAATTTGACAAGTATTAGTACTTGATTGCACTTTTGTGACAAGTTTTAAGACTTGATTACACTTTTTGAAAGTTTTAGGACTTAATTGCACTTTCATGACAGGTTTTAGGACTTCCAATGCATTTATCCCAAATATAAATAAAACCCAGTTTATGAGAAAAATAAAAGTGCACTGCTAATTTTTCGTTGGACATGGATCCTCACAATTTAGAATTACAAATCAATTGTGTTTACCTTACCTCAAGAACGACGAATATCGTTATTTGTCAGTATAGTAACATGATTTAATGCTAGGGAATATAAAGTTTATAAAGATAGATATTAGAAAAAACTTATGCGACCTACATCATTTGCATGTCATGATTCATGCTAAAACAACAAATTATGTATCATGACATAGAACCTTGTATGCCAATCTTGTTCAGTCTTTTTAACCTACCATTACTCTTCCCTTGAAAAATTCAAAAGTCATCAGCCGCTGGATCAAAAGAAAAAGTAAAATACTATGACGTCTGGTGGGTCAGATATCAATTGCTGTCATCATACCCTTGTCCCTTTGTTCACGAAGAACAATACTCTTTGGCGACGACCGTCGTTTAAAAAGGAAGACCAAGTAATATAAATAGACCACAAGATAACGACTATGTGAGAAAATAATCTTTTTATAAGTATATGCTTAACAGTATAATAATAATAATAATAATCCTTTTGTCATCTGTGTTGCCCTGCTTTGATGAAATGAAAATGCGCAACTTACCTATAAAAAAAAGTCGGGCTAATTCCAAAAGAAGGTACCAATTCTTCCTTAAGTGACAATTCTGGCCCGAAATTTTTTTTTTGTCTCGATAAAAATCACTAACTTTTACTCGAATTCCAAATCTGATTCCCGTGATGTGAAATTTTCAAACTTTTTAGGCTGGATTTGAGATTTAAGTGAAAGTTTGTGATTTTTTATAAGATAAAAAATAGTTTGGGCTAGAATTGTCATTCAAGGTAAATTTGGTGCTTTATTTTTTGTTTAAAATTAGCCTAAAAAAGTACAATAATAGAAAAAAAAAATAAATAGGAAATTCCATCCAAAATGCCTGTTCTTTCTCATTTGTCCGATCGTCCCTTGAAATGTCAACCGGGTTCAGCGTTTCAGCTCCTGGTTATATAAATTCCACCCCCAGTTGTACTCAGGAAAAGACCGCCATCTTTTCAAGACCATTACAAGAAGATATAGACCAAAAGAAGGCAACAACAGGCAGACATTCTTGAACTCAAATCCGTTTTGTTTCGATCCGTCAGCGATGTCGGAAGATTTCGAGATGGGGATACCCGGCGAGAACTGGTGGAATCCGCCAAGAGATTATGTGCTCCTCTCATCGTCCCCGTGTTCAACGAGAGGGCCAAATGGTATCAAGGGCAGAAGTTTCAGGGATTGTTCAGCGGATATGGGGGAGATCATCAAGATCGGAAGGTCTAGCAAGGAAGTGAATGATGATGATGATGATGATGAAAGATCCATAGCTTTCCAAGATGATTTCATGCAAAGAGCTCATCAAATAGATTGTATGATGGACTCCACAAGCTTGCATATGATGGGGTTTGATCTTTTCTCTGCATCGTCTGATTGGAACCTTGCTGTACTGTGAGTATGAACTTCCTGATACTTCTAGCTTTATCACTTATTTTTAATTTTCTTTTACGGAGGAACCGAACTTTACAACCTGTAGAGTTCTCGAAAAAGATTGGATCACAACTAGGTTGATCTCGTAAACACCTGCTCGTGGGGACAACTATAGACATCGATTCACGCCAACTATTGAAAAGTTATAGCTAAGTGATGTTTATCCACAAAATTAAGAAGACACTTGTTTAAATGGAAAGTTTTTTTATGAGTTCAAGGTACTCCTTTCCTCATGACATTTAAAGCGCGAAAAAGAATAAAGGGAGAAAAAGGGGCCATATATAGATGCTGAATTTCGGGAATTATGAATAATTATCAAGCATGTTACAACTGAACTTATATTATATATTTTGATGCTTGTGCAGGCAATCCAGTGGATTTGATGAAAGCAGTTGCACTAATTCCAAGCTGCAAGAAGAAGACATGGCGAGTTCAAAACTCAACTATTACAACAATCAAGAAAAGGAGGTGATGATTGATGATTCTTCACGTCAAATTCAGACTGATTACTGGAGGAGTCATTCTGCACCAACTTGTCATGGTATGTCTACCAATGGGTCATGCGCTTCTTATGTTTACCCTTCAAATTCAATCCAGAGTTCTTTAGAACCAGAACATCACCAGCATCAACCATCACCTTTCAACAACCAGGTAATTGTTATTTTCTCACCAACTTCAGCAGATTAACTAGGCAAAACTATTACCATGATGATGGAATGCTGCTCACTTATAATTCCTTTTTAGCAGCAATTTAGTGGCTTGCACGTCAACAACTTTCACAGGAATGAATCTAGCTTCATCAATGCATCATCGCGTGCACAATTTGTCCAATCTACACTGGAAGAGAAACAGCCCAGTTGCCCAAAGGTGAGATGAACTCTTTGTGATTGGTGAAATTGGGGGGTATTAGCTAGGGTTTTGAGACTGAATATGTAGCTGCTTTTCTTTTGGGAAGTGTAGACCAGCTGTGAAGATGTTGGAGACTTGGGTTCCATGGCGAAGAATATTGGCATTGAACCTGCGTTTAAAAGGCCTCGATTCGAAACACCATCACAGTTACCGACATTCAAGGTAAGTACATTGTGTAAATAGTTTGATAAAGATCAATGCAACATCAAACCGGTTAAAATCTATGTCACTTTAAGATATCAAGAGCTTGAATTTTAAACACAAGAATCTGTTAACAGATGCGAAAAGAGAAGCTAGGGGACCGAGTGACCGCGCTCCAGCAACTAGTTTCGCCTTTTGGAAAGGTTCGCTTAAGCATTATTCACTTCTCCTTTTTGATATAGGACTACAAAAAGGGACATACTTTACTTTATGGAGATGAATAATTCTAAGCTCCAGCCACTTTATTTACCTCAAATTGATTTGCTTCTATCGCTTTATTCTCTTCTCCAGACCGACACGGCATCGGTTCTCCATGAAGCCGTCGAGTATATCAAATTTTTACACGATCAAGTCAATGTACGTTTTGTTATTCATTTTGTTAAATCCATGCTGTTATGAAGAAAATATTTGTTTTCCCTAGCTAACAGCAAATGCTGGAGCATGTCCAGCACTTGCATCATTCTGATGATGTGTTTTATGTTCACAAATTTCAGGTTTTGTGTTCTCCATACATGGGAAATGAAACGCCAGTTAAGGTACAATGTTCTACTTATAAATTATTTCGCATAACATCTTTGCAACACTAAAAATTAGTGCGGTGTGCATTACATATTACCATCTAATAATGTATTCATGTGCTTCATATAACAGGTTAATGACTATATGGTACTCTAAGTAGAGAATGTAATGTCGTGTTATTGCCAAGCAGATATTCAATACGGTTGGTTACCTCAAACATGTCGCAAGATATAAGTATAGCATAAAATACTTTTTTCATTCAATAGGCTTCTGCAATCATTTCATAAATTAACCTACTTGCCTATATGGTCTGGATACTTACATCGAGTATATATGTTCATCTAAACCCGGTTAGGTATTTAGATATCTTCTAACAATTTCAATCGATGAATTGCAAAACTTAAAATTTTGGAGGATCTAAAGTTTGCAAAAAAAAGAGATATTTGTACTGTGATTAGTGATTTCCGTCACGTATCAGTAGTAAAATGATCCAAACTATTATTTATGTTTTTTTGGCAGGCTCCAGGAAAACGAAAAGATGATCAGCAAGGGCTTTCTAAACTAGACCTAAGAAGCAGAGGCCTATGTCTGATGCCGATTTCCAGCACATTCCCAGTCGCAAACAGCACAACGCCGCAGTTTTGGGAGCCGACTCTCGAACAGGATTTCACTTAGAGAAGGATGACTCAGCCAGGAAAAATGAAGTTAGCGCAACATTAAGACAATTAACTACAACAGCCGATCACTTCTTCAACAGGTATTACTTTGGAGACACATTGACTTCAGTTCAGTTCAATTCAGAAAGGAGAGAAGGAAGACACAAAAGCTGAGAGACCCTCTAGCTTGGCTGTCGTGAGGGGGAAAGGGAAAGCAAAGCAAAAGGAGCAGGAGAGAGAGAAAAGATGGAGACAAGTAAAGGGCCAAGTACAGAGAAGATGATAGTGATTAGGTTAGGAAAAATACTTTTTAGTAACTGCTGATCAAGGTGTACGCAGGCGGTCAACCGGAAGCATTCCTCTAGTTTGTATGTGGAAGTGGGTTTGGAACGAGGAATACAAGGTGCTTTTTCTGGTGGAATTGTTAGCATTAGTTTCATGATTTGTGAAATTTATATATATATATATATATATATATATATATATATATATAGATGCATGCTCATTTTATGAAGATGTGTATAAGGTGCTATACATTAGGAACTGGGATTAAATAAAGGTGCTATACATTCGTGACGTATTTGAATTTAAATTGTTAGTCCGTTGCAAGATATTGAACACGCTCATTCTATTATCGATTAATTAATGCGGTAGCTGAAAATAACCACATGTGTTTGTTATCTTTTTCGTTATTTTCTTTTCGGGTATGATGTGATTAATCCGGTCTGAAACAAGCTCCCAGTCTAAAACAAGCTCCCGCAAATTTCTCGTCACCCATATATATCGCTAATCAAGATATGGTCCTCCTATGCGCAATTAAAATCTAATCATTTCAATACCGGCATATGTTGTCAAATCTTAACACTGCCTTCGAAATAAGATTCTTCCCTTATGTTCAATTTTTGTAATTCAGGAGCACGAACATAGAGATTCAGCGGTGATGTTTATAATTAATCCAATAAAAAGTCACGTGGTGCCGAATAAGTTTGGGAAAGAAATTAATCCTTAACTGAAGGACATCGACAACTATTAATTTGTGCACTCTCAATTGATTATTGCCCACCAGTTGGCATGGCATTGGCTAGGAATTGACAGTTAATAGGTTGATGGGGGCATAAATAAATTACCAGAAATGATAACAAACATGGTCGAACTTTCAACATCTTAATGAAAAACAGCTATTGATAATCACACTTTAGAAGGAGAAGGCTTTAGTTATGCTCTTGCTTTGCCAAAGCAATGGCCACACCTTCATTTGGGCCCTCCAAGAATACATGTGGTGCTACCGGACCAATATAAAAGAAATCAGAAGACAGTAAGGAAATAATATTTTAAAAAAAACGAATATTCAAATGTTTTTTTTTTTTGTGTCAAAGTAAATTTAATTTTTATAAAGTGCTCTGATTTTTGTTAAATATTTTCTAAAGGGTAAAAAAATAAGAAATTCAGCGCTTGACTTATAAGTTTCTAGCTACCTCATAGAGCACCCGTGCTTTGATTTTTGTTCTCTGTTCTATGTTAACATCTATATTACCCTTACCACATAAAAAATCGAGATTTGTAGTACAGGTTCAGGGATATCGTCACGTGCTTATTCTTCACCGAGCGAAGTAATTGGACAAATACTATGTAACTTGTAACTTGTAAAACGCGAATGGAATTAGCATTTTTTTTGTTTAAAAATTCTATTAGAAGGAAGAAATTGACAAAAGGACTCCGATTATTTTATGCTTATTGCGAAAATGAGAGCTTAATTGAAAAATTGTGTGCAAAATAAGGAAGCCACTTTTTCCCTTCACAAAATTGCCACCGAATGTAGGAAAGGAGGGAGAACAAGGTCCAATGAAATAGACGGTAAAAATAGGATATGAAATAAACTATAGGCCAAAAAATGCAATACTCAAAATATTTCATTATCTCAAAAACTCTTATTACAATGTGAAAGTTGCAAGCTAAGGCAATTTGAAGAGAAGAGTTTCACTGAGTTTCATATCATCAGAGCAGAAATTCAAGCAGAGCCCTTGAGCTTCTTTGCGACGTCGGCGAAGTACTTGCCCTGGTGGAATGCGAGCCCGAGCTCGAGCTCCGAAGGAAGCCTGGAGCCGTCGCCGGCATAAGTTCCCGCGCCGTACGGGCTCCCTCCCTTCACCTGCTCCATCTCGAACATGCCGGCCCCAAAAGTGTACCCGACGGGGACGAAGATCATGCCATGGTGGGTCAGCTGAGTGATTGCGGTCAATCTGATCGAACCAAGAAAGATTAATGATGTGCAAGTGCGCAAAATAGACATTGCAAGGAATTTTAAGTCACTTCGAAATTGAATGATGTTCGCGAACTCGATCGGCGAATCTGCAACTTACGGGGTGGTCTCCTGTCCACCTCCTTGAGAACCGGTGCTGTAGAAGATCCCCGCAGGCTTGCCCGCCAGCTTCTGTGAGCCCCAGAGGCCGCCGGTCGCGTCCATGAAGGCCTTGAATTGCGCAGCCATCATCCCGAACCGGGTCGGGAAGCCGAAGATGATGCCATCGGCCTCCACGAGCTCATTCGGAGTGATTATCGGCACATCGCTCTTAGGCGGGGCACCCATCTTACCCAGAACCTCCTCAGGCAATGTCTCTGGAACCTGCACATTTTCGCCAACGCCATTCAATCAGGCAAAAACGGCAGTTGAAAGTGCTTTTTTAAGATCACAGAAAAGTTGTGCACATGGTCAAACTCAGGACACTGTTCATATTCCAATCAATCGCACGCAGGGTCAAACACTAGAAGTTGGAAGGCATTGTTCTATTACAGATTTACACACCTTGAAGGTGCTAATTGTAGTACTTCAATCGCATTAGACTACAATAACTACAGTAAAAGATGTGAACTTAACATGGAATTCAAACCTGCCATAATTTTGCTTCTACTCCTTCCACTGAATCGGCGCCTTTCTTGATTTCTTCGGCGAGCTTCTCGACATGACCGTACATCGAATAGTAACTGCATCAGGAGGCCGAAATCCGGCAGATATCATTAAACAAAATTAAAGAAACTCAATGGAAACTAGAACTTGGTCACTACTAGTCACATTCAAATCATGGCTTAAGAATACCATATCCTTTGCAATGCGACATTTTCTTGAGAAAAACAAAATCCAGATCCACTATTTTTGGCCAGACTAAGATTGGTGATCAATATACGTTAAATCAGCCATCTGAACACATCATTCTGTGCATACAGTGAGCATAGAAGAGACAGAGAAAAGTTGCAGAAACTGTTGAAAACGAAAAGAAAGAAAAGCAATTGCTGAAATTAGTGCCACATTACAATATTGCAGTGCAAGCTAATCAAGAGAATGATGAATTGCAGGGGACCACGCGGGCTCAAAGGGCAAAAGGGAAAGCACGGGCAGGGTCTTGCATTTTCTTCCTCCAATCATGATTCAAAAGTTTGGTCAGACTTCACTATCACTTTTCAGTTTGGCTTCTTGCAAATTAAAAAATTTGATTCCCACAACGATTCGAATATCGCTCTATAGTGATCCAGGAGAGATCACGAACTTGCAGCCTTCAAAGAGAAGAAATCTTGCTCTAGTTCATCTCCAATTTAATGCCGTTAGTCAGTGCTCCATCAGAAGTAAAGAAGGCTTTTCCATATCCTCCAAAAGAACAGAAAACAGAGTGAACCAGAAACACATCAAGGACCAGAAACCCAGAAATAGTTCATCTCCAATTTAATACCGTTAGTCAGTGCTTCATTAGAAGTAAAGAAGATCCTCCAAAAGAACAGTAAAACAGAGAGTGAACCAGAACCCAGAATTTTCTTGAGATTTACAAGAGAAAATTGTCAAAACAACTCCCATCAACGAACAATGGGCTGAAACTACATACACAACCCGACCACCAAGAAACAAGAACGAGCAAGAGAGAGAGCTACACAAAGAAATTCACAGCTAAACAGAGCAAAACCAGAGCATGCGAAAACAGAGCAGCGCAAACAACAAAACCCAACCCCCCACGAAAGCCACAAAGCAGTGACAAAGGAGGCAATTCGCCAGAAACGGTACTCACACAATGTAGACTTTGGTGGCCATTGATGAGAGAGCTTCTTGTTTCGCGTCCCTTCTGAAAGCGCAACGAGAAGAAGGAAGATGGGTGCGACTCGATCTGTGCAATGGACTTGCCAAGGGGATTTGACGGAGGGAGAAAGAAAGTGGTGCTCCCTATTTATAGTGCCGTCCAAGCAAAGGGGTTAAACTCATTACGTTAAACTGCTCGAATCTTGTCGTCATTAAAGCGTTGATTTCCATCATGGGTGAGCTGTGTTCTCGTCCTCTGTCCATTTGTGTTCACGTCGTTTGATGTCATCCCAACATCACGTTCTATGTAATAAGAATCCCTTTTTTTTGGTCCTGAGGAATAGTCATCGTTGCCTTGCAAATTTCATATTTTTTGGGGTCGATTTTATTTTCCTTTTTATGTAATTTTCACTTGTTATCTTCCTCTTGGAAAAGATAATTCTTTTCTTGGTGGCCGGGTTTAACTATCCTCCGCTTACCCATTTATGAATTTTATTTATGGAAAAATGTATCGGCGTTGTTCGACCATGACTTTTTTCGGCATAATCCCGTTGAGTACCTAGGAATTTTCTTTCCGAGCCCGTTGCCTTATGGTATGTTTGTTTCATGGGAAATTCAAGATTTGGAAAACATTTTTTTCCAAAAAATGATTGGTTATATCGCTAATTAGTCGACGGAAAATGTTTTCATTATCGATAAATATTTTTGCCTAACTATTTTCGTGAGTGATGAAAATATTTTGCATTCATTTGGTTCTTTTTTTAAGCGATATAAGCGAACAATTTTTGGAAAATGTTTCTAAATCTTAATCTTTCCGTGAAACAAACGCACTTCGTTATATTTGTTTTGTAATGTTAATATTCCTACCATTTTGTTCGTCACATAGATGTTTTTCCGGGGACATATTTTTTAAAGAAATAATCCTGCATTGAAATACTTGTATTTCTAGACAATATCAATTGATTTTTTTAATTATTGACATGTTCAACCTCTTCCCCCCCAAACGATAGGTACGTATGTAGACATTGCCGATGTCATCCCAGCGTCATTTTTACGTAATAATTCCTAATAATCTGTGCATTATGACATCATTATTTCTTCATGAGTTCATTTTGTATTTCTCTTCTTGCTTGCATTGAATTTGATTATTTTACCATATTTGTAGACGTTTCGGATGTCAACGGTCACATTCTCACTCTTCTTTTATTATTACCTTATCTATATGTATACGCATAATACGCTCATGGCGTCATGCCTGCGTCATACTTTAGTCCCATTTTCCTTTAAACAAACCAAAGAAAAGGTATATTAGCCATGGTTAGTAGTAGTCTCGTTTAAGGTCCTTCACCTAATATCATACTATTTTTATGATGACCCGATTCGATGAGAGCAGAGAGTGGTCATCGGGGCCAAAGGGCCAGAACAAGGAGCAACTCCTAACAGACTTATAGGATGGCGAAAAAGGCATGACCGAACTGAATTGTGCACTAAACAGAGAGAGAGCGATTATGGGATATATATATATATATATTTGTGTGTGTGTGTGTGTGGAAACTGGAATTAACTACGAATGCGTTTTTTGACGTAACAACAATGCTTTGTTTTAGAATTCTAAAGTCAAGTATGCTCAGGTGGGAGCACTCTTAGAATGGCTGACTTCATAGGAAAATGCTCACATGTATGCCAAAGAACAAAACCGTGAGGTTTAGTATGGGGACGAGTCAAAACGAACAATACCTTGGTGAGTTAATCAAAGACGTCACCATATGGTATCTTAGCGGGACCCCTCTAGTAGGTGTGTGGTTCGGGAACGAACCATGCAGAAGCTGGTGAGTCTGTAACAACTCGGTCCGACAAGGGCAGGGAGTGGTTGCCAGGGCTAGAAGGCCTGGACAATGAGCAGCTCCTAGCATGTTTCTAAGATGACAAATGGAGCAGGAATGAACTGAACTTTGCATTGAACATGGGAGATCGATTTTGGGATATATATATATATATATATATATATATATATATATATATATATATATATATATATATGTGTGTGTGTGTGTGTGTGAAAACTGGAATTCACTCACGGAGACGCATTTTGACATAAAGGTCATGCTTAGCTTAAGCGTGCTTAGGTGGTCGTGCTTAACTATCTTCCACTTACCCATTTATGAATTTTATTTATGGAAAAATGTATTAGCGTTATTCGACCATGACTGTTTTCGACATAATCCCATTGAGTACCCAAGAATTTTCCTTTTGAGCCCCGTTGTCATGTGGTACGTTTGTTTCACGGAAAACTCAGGATTTGAAAAACGTTTTCCAAAAAATGATTAGTTATATCGCTTAGAAAAATTAATCGATAACAATTTGTGCCTAACTATTTTCATGACTATTTTCATGAGTGAGGAAAATATTTTGTATTTATTTGTTTTTTTAAGCGATACAAACGACCATTTTTTGGAAAATGTTTCTAAATCGTAAGCTTTCCGTGAAACAAACGCACTTCATTATATTTGTATTTGTAATGTTAATATTCCTACATTTTATTCATCACATCGATGTTTTTTCGGGGCCATATGTTTTAAAGAAATAATCCTTGCATTAAAATACTTGTATTTCTAGACAATGCCTATTGATTTTTATAATTATTGACATGTTCAACCTCTTCCCCACCCGCCCCCCAACGATAGATACGTATGTAGACATTGCCGATGTCATCCCATCGTCATTTTTACGTAATAATTCCTAATAATTTGTGCATTATGATATCATTATTTTTTGATGAGTTCATTTTGTATTTCTCTTCTTGCTTGCATTGAATTTGATTATTTTACCATATTTGTAGACGTTTCGGATGTCAACAGTCACATTCTCACTCTTCTTTTATTATTACCTTATCTATATGTATACGCATAATACGCTCATGGCGTCATGCCTGCGTCATACTTTAGTCCCATTTTCCTTTAAACAAACCAAAGAAAAGGCATATTAGCGATGGTTATTTGTAGTCTCGTTTAAGGTCCTTCACCTAATATTATACTATTGTTATAATGACCCGGTCCGACGAAGGCTGAGAGTGGTCGTCGGGGGCCAGAGGGCCTGAACAAAAAACTGCTCCTGGCAGACTTTTAGGATAATGAAAGGGATAGAAATGAACCGAACTGTACACCGAACATGGAGAGAGCCATTTTATGATGTATATGTGAAAACTTAAATTAACTCGAGGAGGCGCATTTTTATGTAATGGTCATGCTTAGCTTTGGAACTCCAAAATTAAGCGTGCTCAGGTGGGAGTACTCTTAAGATAGATGACCTCTTGGGAAGGTGCTCAAGACCAAAAATATAATCTAGGACGAGCCAAGAGACTTGATATGGGACGAGCCAAAGCAAACAGTGGCTCGGTAAGTTAATCTAGGACGTCACAATTGTTATCCACAATCTTTCCTTGTGAGTTGTAGCTATAATGAGACAATATTTTGTTAATAATATTAATGTTAATTACAGTTGGCATTGTATGTACTAGTAATAGTGCACATACGTTGCGCGTATGTAAAAAATTGACATTTAAAACATTTTGCGAAATTGCCATTTACAAAATATTCACATTTTTAATTAATAAAAAGAGATTATTTATAAAATATGAAGAAATTGCATACATATGAAAAGAGAAAAATATTTTAAGATTCGAACTTTTTCTTTAAAAATGTCTGTAAAATTGAAAAGATTCAAATTTTAGATTTTAAACAAATGGCAAATAAAAATGGAATTATTAATTTATGGACTTTCGTGTTTCTTTTTCATCAAAAAAAGATAATTCTTTCTTGGGTGACCAGGTTTAATTATCTTCCACTTACCTATGAATTTTATTTATGAAAAAAATATAATTGCTCTTTTTGACCGTAACTTTTTCATCATGATTCCGTCGATCATCCGAGAATTTTCCTTTTGAGCCCCTTTGCCCTAGATTTGTCATATTTGTATTTTGTAATGTTAATATTTGTACACGTTATTCATCAAATCGACATTTTTCCTATTTTTTAAAGAAATAATCCTTGCTTTTGAAGTACATGTATTTCTGACAATTTCGGTTGATTTTTATAAAGATTGACATGTTCAACCTCTTTCCCACCAACGATACATAAGCATGCAGACGTTGCCGATGTCACCCCAGCGTCATTTTTGCGTAATAATTCCTAATATCATGATTTCTTGATAAGTTCATTTTGTATTTCCTTCTTTACTTGCATTGAATTTCATTCTTTTACCATATGAGCAGACTTTTCGGAGGTCAAAAATCACTCTCTCGCACTTCATTGCCTTACCTATATTTAGACATAAACCCTATCGACGTCATGCCTGCATCGTTCTTTAGTCACATTTCAATCTCTGTCATATATCTCTAAACTTCTCTCTTTGACCCACCAAAAGAAAGGCATATCGGCCATGGTTATTAATCTCATTTTAAGGTTCATTGAATGTGTGTGTGTGTGTGTGTGAACATTGACACTTATAACCTTATGGCTAGAATTCTTTCATTACAAAACATTTAAAGTATCAATTCACGATATAAAAAAAATTGAACACATACATCGAAAGAGAAAAATACTTATAAGATGCCTCTTACCTGTTTCCAATCCGGTTACCGATTTATAGGATTATCGAGAAGAGAAGGAAGTCAGGACCGGCTGAAAGAAGGACAGCAGGGAAAGTTTTCTAACTTAAGGTAAAAAACCTTCAAATCCATCTTTTTTGGAAGGAAAGGGTGAATAGAACTGGCGCGAAAACTAAACCGCCACAGTCGAGGGAAGATTTCCAATCTTTGGAAAATAGTTTCGTTTTTTGCGTCTCCTGAGAAATTAGGAATTTGAATTGTCCATCAATAGAATACTCTTTATGAGATAACTACAGAGCGATATTTGGGAAAAGAAAATAAGAATTGCGATCCCCGTCGGAGGTCATCTTTGCTCTATAGAATAAAACAGATATATCTATGTAATATAGGGGTAAGAAAAGAATATTCAACATCAAATTCCAAATTCGGCGGGCAACCCAATAATTTTCTCATGCCCTACATCTTTGCATATTTGGATAAATTTTCTATTTTCATAGTGGTCCAACCTTACATGGGAATAGAAAAAAGCAACCTTTAGTGTATACC